GCTTAAATCCTGAGGGATGCCCGATTTAGCACTACGGATCTGACAACTGCGGATTCACTCGATAGTGCGCTGCACTCCTGTACCCACAATTTATGGACTCACATGGCTAAACCTGCAGAATTTAGCAGCGTTCCGTTGGGCACGGGGCAGAGGGCTGGTGTGGCTGGTTACAGACCGACACAGTTCGATGTGGCACTACAAGTCCGGGTGCACCAGTGCTGGATTCACTCGACAGTGCCCTGCACTTGCCATCCAGTCCCCATCTCTGCGCTCTCACAGCCTGTCAGGCAGCGCCCAGTGAGGAATCGTGCAGCAGTTTAATAAGAGAATAAGGCACTTGAATAAAGCAACAGGAATAATACAGATTCATGTGGATTGCCAGTGATAATCTACAGTCTGCAGAAGTATGTACAAGCATTAAGGTTCCAAGTTACTAAAAGCATTAAGTTAGAAAGCAATTCTATAGACATCTCTAAGTGTCCAAGAAAGTCCTCAGGGCAGTATAAATCTTACCCAAAGGCATCCCTATGGGGGGCAAGAGAGGGTCAGCCGTCGGCTGGTCCTGGGGGTCAGAGGTCTGCGATGGAGTTGTCCGTGACTTGTCCGTGATGGTATCTTCCCTAATTTCCCCCTTTCTCTGGGCCATTTTTATATTATTTTTTACCTTCAAGGTGGAGCTTGAGTGACTCTAGTCATACTTTCACTGTGATTGGTGAAAACACTTCTGTGCCCCTTTTAAGGTAGAAGTTACCAAAACTTAAGAGTGTATGCCCAGTAAGGGGGAAGGGGAGGGGTCAGTGAGCCGGGGGTATGTTTTTTGTGTAGCTGTAATTCAAGGTCCACAAAAGGGAGGTATTTGTCTAAGGGGTGCCAGGTGTCAGTCCAGGGTCACAAACAGACAATACATCAGCCCCTATGGTGCCAGAAATACGGGAGTTGATAAACAGGCCTCTGCTCTTTCTCATCCCCCGTATTGATAAGCCTACCAGGCTCTGAAGGGAGACAGCCTTGGAGAAGTTCTTCACATGCCAGCTGTATTTTTCCCCTGGGATCTTCCTTTCCCTAGTGTGTGAACACAGCCATTTTCTGATTTTCAAGTTACCTCCAGTAATTATTCCACAGCATTTCATTAAGGAAGAATTCTTGCTTACCAAGCTCCAGAACCTTGCTTCATTTCCCTGACTTTTAAAGAGGGTTTTGTAGTGTCTCTGTGTGAGAACAATTTCACGCCATGAGTTCTGTGTAGAGAGGAGCATTATCTTTGAGAAAAGCTGTCTTCATGTTAATTCATTTAAAATTACCTCTGTGAGGTAAGCAGTTGTTTATTATGAGTAGTTACTGATTACAGGTACTACATCACCAGACTATATATGAAGCAAGATGGTTTGCAGTGAAGCCGGTTTGCTATTGCTTGGCAATCAGATACCTGGGCTCACATCTATATTCTGGCTCTTACTTTTGATATCTTCTGGTCTTCTGATTTCCTATTTAGTTTTAACTTCAAATAAGTAAAGTAACTTTATAAAGAGTAGAAAGATAGTCATTTTTGTTTGTGCTTCTTGAAACTTCAGTTTATACTGACTTAACCATTTTTAATGTTATGCTGTGAAATTTTTTACAGTCAATGGAATGAGATTAAAAGGTAGATAATAGCTTCCCAGATGACACATCTGTTTTGCCAAGTTGTTGGCCAGGGACATATTCCCTCTGCTGTACAGTGGCAGTAGGGGGGATGGTGTTCCTGGCACAACCACCCGTGATGGGAGCTGCAAACCTTTGCATCAGAGCATGTGGAAGGATTTACCCCATGTGCAGAATCACGTTATCATGGCTAGAGACTCAGACCAGTGCTCTGGTCTCTGCTGTGCTAGTGCCTTGATGGGATACATGTATTCTCACAGCCACAGCTTGGAGGAAGGAGACAGAAGACAAATGGGGGATGTGATAAGAAAAATAGTATACATGTCTGAATACATCCATATGAGCATGGTATTTTAGCCAGTGATGAAGGAACAACCGTATTGTGTAAGATGCCAGCAGCTGTAGCTCTAGGTTTTGTCTCCCAAAGGAGAAGTCTCCTTATGTTTTTTTTAGTTATTAATCATTTTACTTAATATTGTTAATTGGCAGAATTTATTTAAAACCATATGGTTTGAGTGCTGATTAATTTTTTTTCCCATACTTTATTTCATTTGGGAGGGAATAACTCCTCTGAGGAATTTTGCTTTTGGCAGCTAGTATAGCTGACAGGAAGTTCTTAAATTTGATGGTATTCCAGTATTATTCCAGAAGGGTATTCCTCCCCGATTGCTACATGGGGGGAACAATATTACTGTACTGTATTACATATTAAAATACTAGTATATTGGTATATAGAGCAGTATATTACTACAGTGAACCTGCTTGGCTTTTACATGCATATAAGGTTCTGTTGGCATCTTAAAAGGTTTATCTCTAGACAAAATTTCAAATTGCTGCATCTTGTCCAGTAGTTTATGGATTATCCTGCACTGCTTCCAGTAAAAGAATAAGAATGTCATCTCCAAATACACAAATACTCCAAAACTACAATGCAACTAGTTTTCTTCCAGTTTGTGTATTTCCACTATCCTTTTCCTTGTTTGAGGGTAACAGTGATGAAAACCACACAGAAAGGAAGAAGTTTCATTCACGTATTTTGATTTTAGGAGTGTCTGAATTTGTTTGGCTCAGTAGGAAAATGTGTTTTATTTATGGTGTGGTTTCCATTTCCAATGCTATTTCCTCAGACTGTTTTCATAAGGTCACAAACCTCTTTACAGTCCAAATCACAGGCCTTGAAGGCTGGAGTTCTGTAGCCACCCAGACCCACTTTCTTGAAGCCAGTCCACTGTGTGCTGACAGTCTTTAGGCACTACATATCCTTGAATGGTATTCCATAGTTCCATGAGTGATTTAGTATTATTGTGCTGATGCATTTGTGTGTTCATATCCTCTACTGCTTTCATTTTTCGTGGTGATTACAGAAGGAGGACCAGGAAGAGAACATGTAGCTATGAGTAGGAAATCACATTCAGGAGTACCTAAGCAAAATTTAGTATAGATTTATATATGTTGTCTGAGATTTAAAAGAAAAGATGCACCTATATCTTTGGAAAGCTGTATTCAACCTTTCAAGTGTTGATATTGGTTCTTGTCAGAATACAACAGTAAGAAGAGGTGTTATTGAAAAGCCTAATGAAAATCAGTAAAGGAATTGCAGTCAGTCATTGTTGATGAACTTTTACTTTATGCCAAATACTTTATAGACCATTAGTAGTTTTAAACAAAACTATAGTGGCTTTCAAGTATTAGGTTGGAGGATTTAGAGAGATTTCATAAAATGCTAACTGACTTTTGGAAAGAAAGTAGGATTTATATATATAAGGTTTTTAAACACTGCCCACTGTTATGTAATAATCCCGGTATATTAATTAGAAAGTAATACATTTATGGTAGTGGGCACTGAGGGAAAAACGGAGCTATGGGATATTCAACTTTGTATGGAGATATTGCTCAAGTCTTTGTCAAGCTAAACATATGCAACACGTGTAGATGTGTGTACTACAGATGAGAAGAGGCGTTTTTGTATATGTATAAAACTTAAAGATGGAGGAGATGAGAAGTCATTCAGGTCGTTGAAACTAGATTATCCTCTCATGGCAGCTAAGATTTTCGAAGTGTGTTTAGTGATTGCAGGTAATTCAAATTTAAGACACTTTAAAAAGTGTAATCTTCAAAGTGTAACAATGCAACTTTTCCTGAAAATGAGGCTGGTTTACGGTGTTTGAAGTTTAGTAGCTAAAAACATCAACCATACCTCAAATTCTTGGTTTCTGTGTTCATGGTTATTGTTTGCAGAATTACATAATGAAATTGAGAAAATATGCCATTGAAATTGAAAATGGAACAGTATAAATATCACATACTGTGCTCTAAAGCATTTATTTAAACTAGCAGACTTGAATATGGGCAAGATGATCATATATTCTCTCGTTTCCTTCCTCGAGTTTCATTATATTATGGTGAGTTCATAAGAACATTCTGGAGCTTATCTTGTTGTCAGGCTACATCTACAAGTCCTTGAGGAAAGGAACATCTCTTTCTGAACAATAATTTAATTATTTCAGTGCATTTGGATTCCAGTGGCTGAAATAGTTTTCACCCTTAAACTTCCCAGACTCCTGTCTGAGGCACTGCAGATCTCTGTCCCTGCACTGTAGATCTCTATCTCTGCCTGTCTTGACAAACTGGATGTTTTTAATCTCATATATTTCTTCAGGCCTTTGATTTAGTTGCTGTCTTTGTCTCCACCATCTGGAATCCTTTTTTCACAAAGGAACATAGATCCTTTAACTGAGCTTCACACAGCTTTACTCTTAGCCAGAAATAATCCCCAAACTCATGTCTTTGTGCATACCTGTCATCTACCTACCACTTCCATTTCCAGATTTCAAATCATAGAATGGTTTGGGTTGGAAGGGACCTTTTAAGGTCATCTAGTCCAACTCCCCTGCAGTGAGCAGGGACACCTTCAACTAGATAAGGTTGCTCAGAACCCAGTCCAACCTGATCGTGAATGTTTGCAGGGATGGGGTTTCTACCACCTCTCTGGGCAACCTGTGTCAGTGTTTCACCACCCTCATCATAAAAGATTTCCCTATATCTAGTCTGAATCTCCCCTCTTTTAGTTTAAAACCATTACCCCTTGTCCTTTTGCTACAGACCTTGCTAAAATGTACTATCTAAAATGTAGATAGTAGACTTTCTGGAGAAAGTACTTTACTCTTAGCCAGTTCTTTCTTGTTTCTGCAGAGCAGAAAAGTGATTCTGAGGTGGCTAACTATACTGTAATACATTGGAAGATATGCTCATGTTTGGTCATCTGTTTCTACAGATGCATCCTTTTTTTTTTCAGTCTTCTGTTTATAGATGCTGTAAATGTAAAAAAAAAAACCAAAACTATTTTTCTCTTTCAGCCATTAATGAATTTCCTGAAGATGTATTTACCAATAAAGAACGGCAGCAGGGAGGAGTTCTGCTTCATATTGTTGCTGTAAGTTTTCCTCTACTGTGCTTATCTTTTATTTTCCTTTTATTTGTTTTGTAAGATGTTCATAATCTTAGTGGCCTTACTAAATACAGCTCTGCATATTTCAACATGTTTCTAATACTTTGATTTCAATATTTCTAATACATATACATGGATGAAAAAGCTCAAAAGGTAACATCTATGGGCATGGTTTAGTGGTAGACTTCGTAGTGTTAGGTTAATGATCTTAAGGGTCTTTTCCAACCTAAATGATTCTACAATTCTGTAATTTATTTAAGAAAATTTTACAGGTCTGAATTTGCAGTGCCTATTCATTCATCCTCTTGGAGATAAAATCCTGGTTGCATGGATGACAGAGGAATTTCTTCCACTGACTTTTATTTGTCATTCATCTTGTATAAACAGGGTTTGGAATTCCTTTACTGATGACATCAAACATGATGTGGAAGACTCTTGATTCTCTTTCTTTCCTACTGTGCCTTTATGCAAAAGATGCAATTGTAATTTAAAAAAAAAAAACCTTGAAAAAAACAGAAGATATTATGTGGAGTTTTATATTTTATTGTAGAAAAAACAAAACAAGTAAGGCCTACGGGCTTCAGTTTTCCGTTCCTGGCTCAAGGAAAGTAGAGTAAAAAGGAGTTGTGTTTGGTGGCCAACAGCAAGATGAGGGCCACTGCATGACCACAGCACTTAAAGCCAGTTAAGATGGTAGGAGAATCACATGTATGCAAGGAACCAGGATCATTCCTGAGAGGTTTTGTGCAATGAACCATGGTCAGGGTCTGCTTATTTCCAGGTGTGATTGTTTTTTGAGTATTGTTAATCAACATGGTGCTACTTTCTGTTAATTACTTGGTCCATTAATTAATGGAAAATATAGATTACGATTACATAATTTTGTAAGCCTTGCCCATTACTTTTCTTTATATGAAGTCTGTTGTGGCTCCCTATTCTGTCAAACTATGGTACCTTTCATATTCTAGAGTCTGGCAAATATTTTTGTCCTAAACTTAATCTTACGTTCAAGAATCTGTTTTGATGACACAAAGTGATCAGCAGAGGGATTTTTATTTGGAGTGGAATAAAAAACAAACCTATATATTTCTGCTAGTCTAAATAAATATAACATTACCTCTTTCTTCTTTTCATGTACAGGAAAAATCTGAAGTATTTCCTGAATTTATTTTCTTTTCAGGCTCTTTATATGTTCTATGCTTTGGCTATAGTATGTGATGACTTCTTTGTTCCATCCTTAGAGAAAATCTGTGAGGTATGTTAAAGAACTTTATTCCTCTTTTGGAAATTTATTTAGAGAATATTATCAAATCAAACATTTTGCACTGTCATTGTTTGGAGCTCATTCCTGTCAACTTTTTGGCCTTGGTCCTTTTCAAATGATTTGAGCTTTCCTTCAAAAAATGAACCTGTGTGCATTTGGTCCTCCTGGGCACACTCAAGGAGAAAAAGGAAAGATTTAATTAGATCAGATGGCAAAACCCGCTCTTAAATACCTATGTAGCTACAATGGATATGACATATGGATGAGTTGGGTTTATAATTGTACTATGAAAAGTCACTTGGGAAAAGAAACTGTATATAGACAAATCAGTGGGTTGGCTATGCAAATTTTATTGCACATCTACCACTGTATCAGCAAGGAGAAACCATGTGTTTGCGGTCCCAGTATAAAGTGGAGAAAAGTGAGAAAAGGGAGAATGCATGAGAAAAGTACATACTTTGCTTTTATATGGAATGAAAATGCATACTTTATATGCAAAAAATTAGTAAATAAATGTAATTCCTTTACATAATTGTTGAGAAGAGTTTGCAAAATTACATGTAGGGTTCTAGTTAAGTGAGTTAATTAGGACAGAGTAAAATTTATACTTGGCATGTAAATGTTGTGTTAGGTAAGGCTTTGATGAACTAGTATAGAGAGAATGCAAAATACAAACCCAGATTTTAGTTCTGTTTTGAGGGCAAAATGAAATCTCATCTCCTTTGCTTTTTAACAAAAATGTGTGTGACCATTTTCTGAAAAACTCCTATAGCTAGTTAAGAAGTCTATTTTCCTGTGGATGTACATACTAAATTCCTGTAAGTGTTACTCAGAGCTATGTACTTACAATTATCAGTAGAAGAACAAACAAAAGAATAAGAGAGGCAGCCAGAAAGAGTAAAATACTCAACAGGGATCTTTTCTTGCCCTTTTCAGATATTTTGTCTTCAGCATGCACCTTATACACCATATTTAAGTTGTACCAGTTGGGTCGTACTCATTAAATTGTCACTGATCCTTCATAAAATCTTTGCCTCTTCTCTCATGTTCTGTTGAACATTAAAACAGAAAAGAATTCAGATAGCACACTTACTTTCAAGCTCCTGTAACAGTATGACTGGTAATGGATTGAATGGTACAGTAAGAGCTTGTGTTGATGTTTTTTCAAGTTCTGTAGGAAGCAATTTTCATCAGCTCAAAATGTTGCTTACTGCCTGAAAAATACAGGATTTCTGTACTGGTCTTTTTGTCACTAATCAGTTTTCTATCCTTGGAAGAGAAATAAGGTACTAAAGATCAGTCTAGAGACTCTCAAAAAGGAAAAAACTCCTCCATAAAACCTTCTATATAGTTCAAGGGAAAGATCTTCAGACAGTATTGATGCAGCCCAGTTGTGAACCTACATGTTTCTGTTGCTCTGAGAACTCTTTAAGTTATCTATATCCTATTAGAAGGATATAGAGACATCGACATGAAAATAGATGTCTACAGTACAGAGGCCTCTCTGTGTCTGATGGGACTGATTTTGTCTGTCGGTGGACTCACTTTTGATGAACACAGTTGTAAAGTGAAGCCAGAATCAGGCCCGCTGTTTGTAAGATTTATTAACAGAGGTCAATGTCATATTTTTCTCTTACGGAATTTTATTTTCAAATGTTAGAAGCCCAAAGAATTGCCCTGAAGTCTTGAATGATTGTGTTAAGAATTGCAAAAGTAAATTAATGAAAACAATATGAGATGTTCACAGTCTTTTTGAATCTGCAGAGATCCTTTTCTCTAATCAGCTACATGTAAGCCACAATTGGCTATTCAGTCATATATAAGTATGTAGTTTTATCTGACACTTCATTGAGTTAGAGTATAAACAGTTTACTTGCCCAAAGTATATTTGCCTCCTCAAAAGGCAGTGTCTTTTTTTGTATCATAGTGACTGTACATCCTTTAACAGCACTGTGGCCAGAAAATGAAGAGCTTCTATGTTTGCAACTGTAGAACTGTGCAATGTAAAGACAGTAGCAGCACTGAAATTACCACTGCTTTTCTTCCAGAAACTACATTTGAGTGAAGATGTTGCTGGAGCCACTTTCATGGCAGCAGGGAGCTCCACTCCAGAACTGTTTGCATCTGTTATAGGTATGGAGCCCACACACTAGCTTTTATGAGATCTGCTGTTAAAAAATCAGCAGCATATCAAGCAGAGGTATCCAAAAGTGCTACCATTCTTCTGTCAAATTAAAATCAGCAGTTGCAGCTGTCAGCTAGTCTGTGGTTCATGGTATAATTAACTATTCAAAATATCTCATGAAACTGTGAAGCTCCTCTCAAAACAGAGAGAGGAATGGCCAATTCTGAACATAGGAAGTAAAAGAAGAGTTTTATTGCAGTCCCCTGAGAGGGAATTTGAGATATTTGATGCCTCTTTGGCTTCTTTCTTCACAAGTAAAGGGAATTAATTTTAGCAAAGAAGTAGGAGAACAAGGAACATGGGAAAAGAATGAATTTATGTATAGACAAGTCAGATCAGTATAGATAAGGCAGTGTATATTAATTACAGAATTATTTGAAGTATTCTGTGAAATATTAGAGATTATTGGTATAGAGAGGAGATGTAAATGGCAAAAGCAGTACCTATTAAGAGAAGGAAGGACACAGGATTACACTGACAGAGAAGGAAAGCAGCAAATTTGATAAATGTCTCTTTAGTAAAGCTTTAGTAGCCTTTTTGCTACTACCCTGACTGACATTTTTACAAACATTAGGAAAATACAGTCTAAAGGAATGCACTATAGCATCACGTTCAACTCATTGAAAAGCAGTGAGTGTAATCCTTTAAGACTCCCTTTAGTTAAAGATTTAAAGTGCAAGTGGACATGGCTCTGTAGTGCATTCACGTTATCTTTGGTCCTGTCTCAGTGCTGAAGATTACATTAGATAATCCCTGGAGGTCCACTCCAGCCATTAATTTTTGCCATTCTGATACCATTATATTACAGATAGGTATCTGAGGCATAAATGGATTCAGTACTAAGGGAAATCTGAAAGTCAGTACTAGAACAGGTTAAGTCTGAATCCTGGTGTCTGTTCTAGTCAGAAGGCACATATTACTGCACTCAAAGTGGCTACCAGCTTCTTGAGAGGAGAATCTCTTACCCTCATGAGACATTGCAAGGAAGAACTCACTAAATATGAAATACCTGGGAGAAAGATTTCTGTACTTTATTATACTGTTTGAAATAAATTTCATGCTCCTGATATCACTGGAGATGTTTTGTACTCATTTGAATGGATTACTGCACCACTAACAACCAAGCTGTGAAATACAGGACTTAACTATTGAACTGACTAGCTAAGAAATAATTTACTTGTAATAAAAATATATATACGTAGAGATATTAAGTCAAAAATGGGGAGCTGCTAGCTAGACTAAAAGCACAAAATATTCCACAGAGAAGTGAGCATTTATGATGAAACAAATTTTGGTTAAAGTTTCAAACAGTCTCTTGTTCTCAGGTAGTACATGTTCTAAGTAATTGCCTGTTACTTAAAATGAAACGACAGAGGTAATAATGCATGTTTTGCTCCCTCTGCAGGTGTATTTATCACTCACGGAGATGTAGGAGTAGGGACCATTGTTGGCTCAGCAGTTTTCAACATCCTCTGCATTGTTGGTGTCTGTGGAATGTTTGCAGGACAGGTTAGTAAGATACTTATCTTTATGGACTTCAATTTAGGGGATTCCATGAGCAAATATTTAAAAAAAAAAAAAAAAACAAACCTGGCATTGTGGAAAACATCAAATGTTGGAAAGAATTTACATATGCTTCTGACAGTGATCAAAGATTCTAAGACACGAGCATGATTGGCTGCATCTATTCAGTAAATGGTTAGACTGTGTATCATATTTTTTCAGGTATTAAGTCTGATATGTCCACAAATATAATGAAGTGGGAACCATTGATTTGCCACAGTACAATGAATTATACTTCACACTTGAAATTATGACCAATTTAAATATCATTGCTAAGAAATGTATTTCATTAATGGAAGTTTCTATGTGATCTTTATTACTGGTGGTTATTATAGATCCATTGTCTAACAGACTGCTGTGTCTTCCTGTAAGCATAAAAATGCATTTGGTTCCAGAAGCATTGCCGATAATAATTCTGCTCACACACCTAAGTGAGTGCAAGATAGAAGCCTTTGTTTTGTCTTTAAAATAGCATATTTGGGTTGGATAAAGTTGTGATATTTTTCAGGTGGTTTGTCTCACCCAGTGGGCTGTGTTCCGGGACTCCATGTACTACACAATATCTGTGCTTGTACTTATTGTTGTAAGTAGTTTCTTTTACCAATTAGCATGTTTCATTGCTTGAATTTTTGGAGGACCAGCCTGCTAACCATTGATATACATTGGCAAACAATGATTTCCCTAGCTAGTTCTAGTGACAGCTGGAATTGAGGGCTCAGTTCCACGAAAACTTCATACAGCCCCACAGAGTACGTGTCCATCATGTCCATCAGTGTCTATTCATTTTATACCTACAGTCTGTAAAGTTCTACAGACTAGCAGGCTACTGTTACACAGTGCAGCTAGCACTCTCTTCTGACTTAGGGGACTGCTCGTTGTGGAGATGAAAATTTTTGAGCTGCACCTCTATTTTAAATAGGGAAGGTGGGTGTTTCTTGCTTCTACACAATAATTTTATTTCACAGATTCTGGTTGGTTTTTTCTAAATAGAGCACAGGTGAGATACTATTTCATTAATCTAGAGCAGTGTTGTAGTTCCTGAATGTACACATTTACTGTGTCTGGTGACAGGGAGGGGAAGAATCCATTTAGTTTGTTTTGTAATACATGTAGATCACTAGCAGCTGCCCATTCAGTTACAGGAGTTACATAGGGCAGAGTAAAATGTGTATAACCACTTGGCCTAAGAGCAAGAGTAAAATGGCTGCCTCTTCTACTAAAACTAGTCTAGCTGTTAAAAGGACTCAGAGCTAGGTCTCTTCAGAATACATGACTTTCTATCATTCACACTGCACAGTGTGGGGATGCAATATCTGTCTGTCTTTCACATGCTTACACTGCTTTACTAAATAGTATTTATAACAAACAGTCACTGAGAAGGATCCAAGCTTTGTTTACAAGGTTTGTACTTTGTGAGAGACTCAGTCCGTACAGTGAAAGTCCTGGTTAGAAAGGGTCAAAACTTGAGTAGCTTCTGGCTAGATATGACTGATAATTATTAAATACATTTGACTGTTTTTCAAGATAGGTCAAAGAAATGGTCAATTTATGTGTTTTTTTTTCCCCCCTTCTTCTAGTTCATATATGATGAGAAAATAGAATGGTAAGTTGTGTAAATTGTTCCCTACTGACCTGTATTTTTCATGAGACTGATCAGTAAATAGAATTGCAGTGTAATTAGCTTTCATTCATATGCACTGGGAGTATGAGCTGGATTTGACACCTAGGAAATCCTATGTATTTTCTTTGGTTGTATTTTTATGATGATCAGGGAAAAGTAAAAGAAAAGTTAAGAACCTGGAAACATTAACTAAGTAAATAGGCTATATTGTAAGGCCTGAAGACTCACACGTGCAGAGGGGGTAACCAAAGTTCTGCTGCTCTGATTCTGGCTGTTAACACTGATGGGAATGCTAGGTGTCTCAAAGAACAGTTCAAGGTGGGATCCTGGTGGAAGATCATAAGCATCTTAGAGTCCTCTCAGTGCCTGACTTGTGCTTCAGCACTGAAATGACAAATGCCTTGGCATTATGATCCTCAGAGGGTAGCTATGGTTTCAGTCTACATAACACATTTCTGAAATACATGCATTACATTTTATTTGCATGTTCATTGGAACTTGAGAGTCTTCTTCCCTCTTATTCTACTAAGACACCATCTAATCTTAATGATGTAAATGAATCCTGTGTACACAAATGTGATTTGTACTAGATGTTTAATGTACACTCCTACATAAAACTTGTAAAACATACAGCTCTTTGAATGACCTTTTAACTTTTTTTTTTTTTTTTCTCTTTGAGGTGGGAAAGCCTTGTACTCATCATCATGTATTCATTCTACATACTTATCATGAAGTAAGTGCTCTTCTCCTCCATATGCCCTTTAGGTGTTAATTGACCATCATTTTTTGGTGTGGTTTTGTCCTTGGCCTTCCTGCT